ACGCCTATCTGCATTGACAAAAATACCCAAATATTATTGAGTCATACAGATTCCAATTTTAATTAATAGTGCTGTAAACACTAGACGAACTTTAGATAAAGAGAACTGACTGATAGATACGTTCTATAACCTAGGCGACAAATCACAAAATGTGGAATCACCAACAAAAAAATGCAATAGACAGGTAGATATTGAGGGATAAGATGTTCCAATTCTACAAGCAGTTTTAGCAAAGATTTACGACGTCTAAGGACAGTCACATAAGTAGGAATGGTCTTCCGGAAGAAATGCCATAAAGGACATGTATGTATTGAAACAAGGTGGGTGGTGAGTTCAGACATTAACTCAAAGCAGTTCATCTTGCATAGAACAACTTCAAGACAGTCTATAATTTGCTGTGAAGTGATTGATTGAATATACCAGTCAACTGAGAACCCATTACACTTTTCCTTGACAAGACAAAATTTTCAGTTATGTTGAATTAAGTGACAATTGGAAAACAAATGTTGAGACCATCCTACAAATTTTACATCTCCTCGAGTCTAATATAGTGTCTCATGATCAAAGCTATCAATTTGGAGGACATATAATCCTACAAAATTTCACCTTCTAACAGTGCAAGATATGTCCTCTTTGGTTTCTACTGCCGCATGGTAGGATTCCTCAGGAATTAATCATAAGAACAACCAAGGTTCAAAACATTTCAATTAAGAAAAATACTAATCTAGCATTAATTTTCTGGCACAGATAAAGTCAACGAAACAAAAACTATTCAAAAAAGAGAAAGTAGACTTACAGATTTAGCCTCCTTAAATTCTTGCACCGCCTTGTGAGATGCATAAGAGAATTCAGTATCAGGCCCCAACTCCGGAACAATGAAGTGACTAAATTCATTGATACATGTGTAGTTCAGTAGGGATCATAGCAACAACAAATGGAAAGTAATGGGATATTTAATTGCAACTTACTAGTTAGTATCGAACCATTTGGTCATTTCCATTGCAGGAACAGTGGCATTACCTCTAGCCATTGAAAAGTAAACATTGAATCCGATCTCACCTCCACTCCAACCGTATCTAGAAGGAATAGCACCTAACATAGCAGTAGTGTCCAATACATGGTCATAGTATGAGAATGTATTGCTTGGAATATATTTGATGCCTGCAACCGCCATCTGCTTCCAAATGGACAACCTGAGGTCAGCTGCCACCTTCTGCAACTCCTCGGCACTACTTTTCCCATCCCAAAAAGATTCCAATGCAACCTTGAGTTCTCTCTTGGGCCCTATACGAGGATACCCGACAATATGAGAAGTCATTGCCCTGTTTCCCAAAAAGGAACCAAAAATGTAATTACATTATGAATCACCTTCACAGAGTTCAATATTTTGTTTTTTATGCACACAAATTGTTATTTTTTGATTCATGTATCATGCTAATTGAAATTGCCAAAGTGGTTAGCATCCCATAAACGGTCAAAAAGTAATCAAGCTTTCAACTCCATTTGCAAAAAATCTTCGATCAAGCAAGCCTGTTGGCACCAAGTCCAATCATTCAGCAATAGAGATAGACACAACAAAAACATAAATTTCAGAAAATTTTCACTCTTATTTGATTTTCAAAACATCACTATTAAGCATTACACGGAACTCAAAAGAGCCCAGGATATGCCAGAGACAAAAACTACAGATCAAACATGTTCATTGGAGCAATGTTGCAAACACATGCATATATGTTTTTAGTTATAAAAGATTGGACCTTCTAACAGACATAAAGATTCAGCTTCTCGTGTAATTCACAATATCAAACACACCTGGTGTCTGCAGTGTACTAAATACCCAAAAATAGAATCAAAGGGTGGCAGAAAACACACGAGCATTCATATCTCCTTAGATACTGCTCAAGACGGGAATTTTTCTTATCGAGACTGCACTTTAAGAAACGAGGAAAAACAAAAAGACCATATGTTTTAGTACCATACAACTCTCAACTATCAGAAAGCACGGAATAGAAGGTGGCGAGAACAGAAACCTGACTCGGAACTTGAAGCAAGATGGAGATGGACGACGTGGGTTAGCGAAGAAAGTGGGGATGAAGATAGGCGAAGAGGAGGAAAGGGGCGCAATCGCAACTGTGATTTGTCTCATTTTTCCTGCTATACTCTTTGTTGCTCGGCCTCTTCATATTCCTTCCATTCAAACTCCTCCCTCTTCATAAACCTAGTACTTCGATTTCTTTCTGCTTGCTTTCTTTCTTGTTTTCGCCTTTTTTTTTTCTTATTTTTATTTTTATCTAAATAAATTTAAAACTTGTTTAGGAGAACTTAAAATTCAATTAAAATTGAAAATATAGTTGTTATTGGGTCCCACTCATCTAATAAAAATCAACAATAACGGTTAATTTTTCTATTTTAATCTCAACCAAACAAGATCTTAGATTAATAAATAAGAGTAGCGGATGAAACTAGCGGCACTCGAAACTATTTTAATTGAAAGAAGATTTTTTTTTTCCTTTTTTGTAAGTAACAAGAAACTTAAATCGCTATACTCGTGGAGAAGTTGTCTAGGAAATACGATGTCCGTTTTTGTAGTTAATGAGTGATCTAGAGGTGATAAACATACTAGACGATTCGACAAAATTACTCGAGTCCAACTCAGTGGTAATTTATTTTTTGAGTATGCTAGATGTACACTTTTGTGTACATCTAGTTTGACACTCTCCACACATGGGGCTGGGCTTGGGATTTTAAGAATCACGGGCCCCACCCCCCATGTGAGGGAAGTGTCAAACTTGTTGTACACAAAAGTGTAAAACAAGAGTTATCCTAATAGATTTCAAATCTTACCATGGGATAGTCCATGATGATATATTCTTAAATATATAGGAGAAACAATGAAGTTGGCTAACCATTACTCTTTGGACGTAGAAAAACAAGGCCACAACTTATAGGATAAATAATCAATCCGTGGAGGGTTTTTATAAATTTTAACAACGGATTTTGATCTTACGGTGCGTTTGATTGCCGATATTTTCTATAGAAAATGTGTTTTTCCCACGTAATTTCCTACTTTTGTGTTGTTAAATTAACAATTTTTTTCCAAAAAATATTTTCCTATTATTGATCATGTGATCATATTTTCCTTGAAAACAGGAAAAATATTTTCTTTGAGGAGTTGTGATTTTTATTTTTCAGATAACTTACTTTATTTTTTTTTCTCTCATCTATCCCCACTCATCTACCCACAAAAAAATAATAAAAAGATGTATAATATTTTTTAAGTTGAAAACTAAATCAATCAAACATATTTAATTAATAGTATTTTCATACAACTGATTAGAATTTATTTTCTTTTCATGTAAATTCCATACTTGCAATCAAATGCACCCTTAAATCTTCTGTACTTTGACAATTTATGAGTCGCTTATTAAAAATTTAAACTACTAAAAAACAAGTTTCGTTACCTGAATTTTATGTTCATGAGTTGAATCCTTGGAAATTTTCTTTGGGAAATTTAACCATAATCTTAGTTGAGAATAAAATATTATTTGTAAATTGATCTTGTAGATTTAACCGCGTGAGTGGACACCACCAATATCATTTACTTGTAGGGCCCCCAAATGCCAGTAAAGTCAAAATACTATTTAAATTTGTTTTAGGTCAAAATTCAGCTTTAACTTTTCCATTGTCAATATCAGCTGTCTACCCAAAATTCCAACACCCCTCCCCTCTCCGAATGAGGGTACACGTGAAAAATTACATTAAGAAAACAAATAGCTATTATCGCAAAATTTGAAGTGTTACTTTATTATCTGTATTCCATTATGATACGTCATCATCTTAACATCTTATTAATTTTAGTACATATTTTCTTATAAAAAGTATATCTTTTTCTTATTCTGACACTCAATAAAATAATACACTTTGTTTAATAAATGTTACAATACGTATAACTGTTTATTTAACTTTAAATTTAAAAGAAGAAAGAAATTCGAAAGACGAATATTTATACGAACAAATATTATTGCATGTTTGGTAGTGCTTAGATTAAAATTTAAGCAACAAGTCTCACATAATGTGTGAATAAAAACTGTGTTTAACCAACTTATATAATAATATATCTCATTTTTTACATAAACTAAAGTTAAAGTCATGCTCCCTTCTATTCTAATAATAGATGAAGTAGGGGGTAAATGAAACTATGCATATCTTGTGCCTTCTCTTGAAATCAATGCCCTAATTATAGGTATTTAACTATGAATTCTTGGCTTTGGCTAGTTTAATTAATCTTAGAATAGTACATGTAGACGCGAAGAAAGTATGATCATGTTTAACACATTTCGTTTTGAAACACATATTATTAGTTTTAACGGCATTCTCACTCCTTTCTTGCATTATTGCTTTCTCTTATTTCAATGCCAATTGCTTCTTGTTAAAATTTGTGGGTCACCCTTGTTGAAGATAATTGAGAGTCCTAAGTGCTCGTTTGGCCCCCCGTTATTCCATATTATAATGAGAGGAATAATAATTTTTATGAAAAATATGTGGTTAAAAAAAAAAAGAAATTTATTTGAATTTACCTGTAATATTATTTTAGTGAAAAATGTGTGGTTGAAAAGAAGATACATAAAAGTCATCAAAAATATAATTTGATATTAATAAAATGTAGTTTTAATTAATTAATTAGTCGTTATCACCTCTAGAATACAAATAATATTTCGACAAGTTACATGAAAATAAGATACCATGTTTAACCATTCCGGTCACATGTTTAAAATATAAATGTATAACTAATATAATAATTATAACAATGTGATTGGTCTACCTAACAAGAATATAATTACACACAAAAGTACAGACGCCAAATCAACAGTGATCTCCTCTGGATTACTTTGATTATATAAAGAGATCTCAAGAAATCCTTAAGGCCCCTTTAAGATCTCAAACCCTAACCAACATATCCGGCATCAAATCTTAATAAATCTATGGATAAGTTCTTTTCAATGTTTTCAATACGAGAAGAAGATGATTTCTTGCTGGAAAACCCAACTTTTTCCATAACCTGTCCAGAATTCATTATCCCAAAAGATCTAGGAATTGGTCCTGCTTCCCTGTCTTCATTACAGGTACAAGGGACAACCTTAAACAACAATAATAAGGGTAAAAGGAAGTGCATATCTAATGAGCGTTCCAAAGATGTCCTGATGAAAAAAATCGTGCACCGGGATGTTGAAAGACAAAGAAGACAAGCAATGGCCAACCTTTATGATTCGGTCCGATCTGTGATTCCTCCGGAACTTCTCAAGGTTCAATTTTTATGTTTTCGTTTAATGAAAAATTATTTTTCAAGGGACTACTAAATCCCTTCTGAGCTTTACTATTTTATAATCATGAAACAATTTCATTTATGGCATATTTGTTACGTTGAATTCGACATACATGAAATAGAAATAAGGAAGAAAATGAAGTTAAAATCTTCTTTGTTAGGTATATATGTCTCTTATTGTAGAGTAGGCTTTCCATCTCCAATCATATTCATGAGGCTTCAAATTACATAAGATACCTGCAAAATAACGAATGTGAATTTAGGAAAAGAGGGTTAACATGTTCTTCATTATTGTGTCTACTGTTGATCTATACTATGTGCTCTTATATGTCTCTTTCCCAGGGAACAATTCCAAATCCGATCATATTTATGAGGCTGCAACCTATATAAGTTGCCTACTAACTAATATAAGGGAATTGGAAAACAAGAGGATTAAAATCTTCTTCATTATCATGCATAGAGCTGTTTACATATGTGCTCATGTTACATACATGACTCTTTTCTAGGGTAAGTGTCCATATAGGATCTTGTTCAATAGATTAAATATTTCATAAGATGCCAGCACCAATTAATAAGGGAATAGGGAAGCAAGAGGTTTAAAATCTTCTTCATTGTCGTACCTAATGTTATCACACATGCTCGTAATACTTGATATGTTTCCTTTCATAGGGAAAGCATTCCAGGCTGGTTCATGCGTATTCATGAGGCCGGAAATTACATAAAATGCCTGAAAAATAATATAAGCGAACTGAGGAAGAAGAGGGTTAAAATCTATAATACTTGTATATGTTTCTTTTTATAGGGAAATTTTGTTTAGTACTTGATGCTCGTCATGTGTATAAATGTAACATGTCTCCTTCTCTAAGCAGGGACATAGCCAAAATTTCAATCTTGCGGGGGCGAAAATACGGGGGGTGGAGGGGGGAGGACCCCCTCCCGGCCAATTTTTTTTTTTTAACTAAGAGAATTNACATTACATCATTAATTATTTAATTAACCAAAAAAATTACATATTTATTAATAACAAATTAATTTTTAAACAAAACTATTAAATATAAACTAGGCAAACGTGCATTGCACGTTGCTTGCACCTAGTTTTTAAATTAAATGTATTGTAGCGTAACTTCTAAAAAGGAGTTTCATTAGGTTGAAAAAAGTCAAGTGATAATTCAACTTTGAAATTGAAACAAAGTGTGAAATAACTAAATTATGAAGGAGATGAAGGCCTCGTCTGGTATTTTAGAGCACGACTTCTTATTGTTAAATAATTTATTTTAGGTTTTTCATAGTTAATTGCCTGGTTGGCCATTGAACTTTATAAAAGTTTCTTCATAAGTCATTAAGTGGTGGATAAGATTAGATTTTGTAAAGTTCGGTAATTAATAAGAAAACTTTTAAAATTCTCAGTGATGGATGTAATTATATTTGTAAAGATCGGTGTCTAACAGGGAAATTTTTAAAGTTCAATGACCCCCTAAAAATCTTACGCAAAATTCAGTGATGAGTCGATTAATTTATCAATCTTTATTTTTGTAGTGTTTTTCTGTACTCTTACTCCACAATTTTGTTCTCTATAGCATCGTCAAAATTAGAAAAAATAGCCTTTATCCCGAGGATAATCGACAAGATTGTCTGCTAACATTTCTGAGATAAAAAAGGCAACAATTGTCTATGCAATCAACTATGTTGGAAGAGAACCCTTTCAGCATTGATCACTTCATAGTATTCAACTTTGAAATTCGTACAAATCTCCAGCTAAGAATCTAATAGATTTTTTAATTTTTATTCAGGTGCATCCTGATAGAAAGACAATAAAACTGAAGCAGCCTATAAAATTATCCTCTATTGCCTCTTTGATTTTAGAAATGTTAGCGGACAACTTTATCGGTTATCCTCGAGATAAAAAGATTGTTCTTTTTTCTGAGTTTGGCAATACTAAAAAGAATAAAATTGTAGGACCCTATAGGAAAAAGAAAGAAAACGACAAAAAATAAAAAAAAGTAAAGATTGATTAATTACCAAATTGGTCATTGAACTTTGCATAAGATTTTCATGGGGTCACCAAACTTCAAAAGCTTTTCCGTTAGTCGCTGAACTTTAAGAAAGTTTTTTCGTTACTCACTAAGTGATGAACGTGATTACATTTTTTGAAATATAGTTATAAATGGAGAAATTTTTGAAGTTCTCAGTGATGAATAAGATTACATTTGTAAGGTACAGTGATTAACGGAAAAAAAAAAATTTAAGTTCAATTACCTTATGAAAATCTTACGCAAAGTTCAATGGCCAATCAAATAATTAATCTGTAGATTTAGAGATGCAGTAAGATGATAGCTTTTTTCAAATTATACTTTATGATTCAATTATCTATTATTAAAATACAAATTTTACTTGGTTAATTAATTAATTCGTTTTTTACTATTTGGAAAAAAAATTATAAATTTTGAGGTTTTTAATAAATGTTGATTTTTTTCCATTTTAAAATAACTATACTGAATATATAGTCTTAGAAAAACATTTAACAATATAACATGTTGTTCTAGAAGTCAAAAATAATTTTTACAATACTATCAATAATAGTAATAATAATGATACAAAATGACATCAGAATAATTAATGTGTAGTTTAGTAATTCCATATCTGCACAATAATAAATCACTTTTATTTACCAAATACTAAAATATTGATTTTGAAACATGAAGTAATTTTGAAATAAAAATTTACCAAAATCTTAATGGATTCTTCTTGCAGCCGATTATTTACGGCGCAACAAAAGTTGATTCTCTTAAAAAGCACATCTATAACGAACCAAGTCGAAGTTTGGATGTTTTAACCTCACCGACGAGGGATATTTCGTCATATGAAAAACTATGAAAATATCCTTCATTTATGCAGGGACCATTTTCACATAAATCCAATAGGGTATGGACAACATTCTCTTAAAAGCATAAGCTTCCATTTGATTCTCATTATTGCAGATTGAGAATGAAAAATATAACTGTTATTGAGTCCCACACAAGAGATAGAAATTCAAAATTGATGACTTGATGTGATAGATAACGATCATATTTTTCATTTTTATAGATGAAAAATGAGAAACAAACGGGGGCTAAGCCCCGTAATGGAGTATCCATTATCCATTATCAAACGGGGACTAAGCCCGTAATAGACATAGTTGATCATGATACAAGAGGTCAATTTTTAAAGTTGATGTTACGTAAAAGAGTATCCATTATCATAAGAATAGTAGATTAATAGAATTACGAATAAATGATGTGACGCCAACCTTTCGACATACTACCGATTAATTAGGAAAAAGAGAAAAGTGCAACTATAATTCAATTTTGAAACAAAGTCATGATTTCAAATCACGACTATAAAAGGCCATTTATTTTTCCACCACCATCGTTGTCCCTTTCAAGGTGCTGTTTCAGCATTCTTTTCACTGTCTTTTATTTCTTGTTTGGAATTTTACATTCTTGTACACATGAATAACACGTGAGAAGTGCGATATGGAATAATTAGGACAGTTAAAGGGGCGAGCCACACACCGATTTATCTGCCCAGCGTAATGAGTAAAATATGTAAGTCAGTAAAAAAAAAATAATAATAATAATAATTTGTGTGAGCCCTGACTAAGACGCAAGCCGGCGAGCCGCTTGGGCTCGTCAAATCCGCAAGTGAGCTCGACGAGTCGAGCCTCGAGCGGCTCGTGGGCTCGTGAAAAATTAAAAAAATTTAAAAAAAAATTGTGAAAAAGTAAAAAAAAATTAAAAAGCTCGTGGGGCTCGCGACTTGGCTCGTAAGCTCACAAGCTTGTGGGCTGAGCCGAGCTCGTCCACGAGCAAACGAGCCACGAGCTGGCTTGGCTCGTGAGCTCATGGCTCGTTTCTCACGAGCCACGAGCTCGTGGGTTTAAGGGTCGAGCTGAGCCGGCTTGGCCCATTGCTATGACTAGGTCAATTTAGAGTCTGACCTGACTGGACCCATTGTCACACCCAGTTGAAATGTATTTTGATATATTAGACAGCGAAACAATGAACCTTATTGTACATATAATATGGGATTAAATATCAGTAATACTAAGAAGCATTATTTCCTCGAAAATAACATTCTTTCCCAAAAATAGCAAGCAATAAATATCTTAGGGTTTGATCCACTATAAGTCATAATATGGAAATGTACAAGTTCCATTATTAGTGAATTTTGCTGAAGATTATATTTTCATTTGACAACATCTCTCGTTAGGAATCTGTCCTCCAATCAGAAAAGTGATTTGTTTGTTTTTAAATGAAATTCCCCTTTAAATGTGGAACTAAATGCCATTATTTATGTGGAACTCATGTAATGTTGGACTATATTGCACATCTATATTATTACTTACGTGTCTAGTACGAAATACATGATACATAGCTAACTTATTCAATCCAACGGCTCTGATCTCCTGCTTGCAATGGGTAGAATAAAAACTTCTCACTATTGATATGCCAAGAGTGTCTCACGGTTCTCATTCGACCCAACCGAAGTACTAAAATCCGTGTAGTTTGCCTTAAATAGTTTGGCACATTAAGTAGATAAATCTTATCGTGTAGAGATCTTATGTTGGAGACTCGAAATTGAGCTGAATGAGTCGAACTTAGCAAGTAAAGCCCATGAGCTTCGCAAAGGCCTCATACAATGTTTTCCTACTTTCTTATCTAACAATGTTAATTGACCTAGATTTTTACGAAAATTGTTTAGATTCGGGTTTTTGTTAATCTAACTAATTCGCTTAATTCATTGATGTTGCCTACACCTATCGATATGTCTGTACAAAAATAAATAAAAAATCAGTTGGTCTAATCGGGAAAAATATATATTCCAAATTGGTCTGATCATAGTTAAGATTTCACGAGTTGGTTCAATTTGAGTTTTATAAATACTACAACACTATGATTTTTCAATCTAACTTGCCACAAATTCATTGTACTACTAAACTTTTGTTAAACTTCTTTTGCTTTTAATACATTCCCACCCCCACTCTGTCTTGAATGAATGCATCTATACTGGTACTGGTAATAAATATGAATTAAATTACTCGTATACTCTTTGTCTACGTTAAGCTTGACATTTGTTAAAATTTGTTTTACTGATTGTTTAAAGTATCGTTAAAATCAATGTACAAAAAGCTATCACCTCAGAGTAATATCAAATTTAATGTTTACTTAGCAAAACTGAATAAAATATATATTGCAGGAAATTCACAGACCAAAAAACCAAACTCCCAAAAGCAGTTTTTATCCAAGGCGCTGCTGAATGTGATGGGATTAACCTGAGCATTAATTATCCTTTCTCTCACACGCTGTAATTAATATTTCTCTTTGGCCTACACCTTTCACCTCCCCAAGACACCTCCCCAAGACACCGCCCCAATAATACTGTTCATATTTGGCATTAAATGCCATCATTTTCTCCTCTCTCTCGCCATCTTGTCTGTTCTCTTCTTCTATAATTTATAGGGTCAATTAGAAGAAGAGAGTTGGAACAAAGACTCCACAAAGAATACTTGTTGAGGTAAAAAGAAAAGGGACCTCCTTTTTCTTGTTCTGTGATGCTTTCTGTCTGTTCTTCTTCTGTTTCTTGATTGAAGATGGGATCATTTTGCTATTTTCTTCTGTTGGCTTTTTCTATTGGGTTAAAGTTCAAGTCTTTGATGGTTTTAGAGGATTAATTCTGTTTCTTTTTTTTGGGTTATTGAAGTTTTGTTATGATTTTTCTCTCTTTTAATCCATAAATACTGAGTTTTCTTGGAGCAGATGATCAAATAAATGGAAGCTGATTATTTACATTTCTGTGTGTATTAATTGACGCGTTGATCAGTTGGATGAATAAATGGACAATGTACGCTATTTACATTTTAGATCTGTGAAAATTTTATTAATTTGAATTAGCTTTTTCCTGGTAATTTGGAAATTATTCAGATTTTTGCCCCTTTTTCTTCCCTTTGAGAGCTTTTATTCTATGATCACAGATGCCATCACTTATTTTCTTTTTTGTGATGGGTTCTTTGATCTTTACCTTTCAGTTGAGGTTCATATGCTTCCCGTGATAATTTTTTGTTGTTTAGTATTAAATTAGTTGACTATATATACATCTTAATTTTCGTTCTGGGGATAATTTGGTTTTAAGATTACTCCTTTTGAGTAGATTAAGGTCATACCAGTTGAGATTTTCTTAACTTCTTTTTTATCCATTTTTGCAGGTCGGAATACGATGGCGTTTAAGTGATTTCCTTTGTTAAATCTCGAGTTTCAGCTCAAGGAAACAACACAGATTCGAATCAAACCCAATTTTTAATACTAAATTTTGGGGTAGTGGTTGCAGATAAAAAATGATGATGTTTGAGGATATGGGGTTTTGTGGTGATTTTGATTTCTCTTCCTCTGCTCCCGTCAAGGAAGTAGATGTTTGTGGTTCTCAGACAACAGAGCCAGAGCCGGTTGTGGAGGATGATTATACTGATGACGAGATCGATGTGGATGAACTTGAGAGGAGGGTGTGGAGGGATAAGATGCGACTCAAAAGACTGAAAGAAATGAATAAGGGCAAAGAAGGTGTTGATGCTTCCAAACAACGGCAATCTCAAGAGCAGGCAAGGAGAAAGAAGATGTCGAGGGCTCAAGACGGGATCTTGAAATACATGTTAAAAATGATGGAAGTATGCAAAGCTCAAGGTTTTGTTTATGGAATCATTCCAGAGAAAGGAAAGCCGGTGAGTGGGGCATCCGACAATCTGAGGGAGTGGTGGAAGGACAAAGTGAGATTTGATCGTAATGGACCGGCCGCCATAGCAAAATACCAAGCAGATAATTCAATCCCGGGAAAGAACGAGGGATGTAATCCAGTTGGTCCTACACCTCATACCCTGCAGGAGCTCCAAGATACTACCCTTGGTTCACTGTTGTCAGCTCTGATGCAGCACTGCGATCCTCCTCAGAGACGGTTTCCTTTAGAGAAAGGTGTTTCGCCTCCATGGTGGCCCACTGGGAACGAGGAATGGTGGCATCAGTTGGGTCTGCCAAAGAATCAAGGCCCTCCACCTTACAAGAAGCCTCATGATCTGAAGAAGACATGGAAGGTGGGTGTTCTAACGGCAGTAATCAAGCATCTGTCTCCTGATATTGCCAAGATTCGCAAGCTCGTTAGACAGTCCAAGTGCTTACAGGACAAGATGACGGCAAAGGAGAGTACGACTTGGCTTGCTATCATCAACCAGGAGGAAACTTTAGCTCGGGAACTTTACCCCGACCAATGTCCACCTTTGTCCTTGTCTGGTGGTAGCGGAACCTTTTCCATGAATGATACCAGTGAATACGATGTTGAAGGGGCCGATGATGAGTCTAGTATCCAAGAGCAAAAGCCTAACCCAAACCACCTCGGTTTGCTGAATATTGGAACAGAGAGATTCAATGATAGACTTCCAGTTCAACAACAATCTCATACAATTAAGGATGAATTCATCACTGACCTGGACTTCACCCGGAAGAGGAAGCCTGGCAATGAACTGAATGTTATGATGGATCACAAAATATATACATGTGAGTTCCTTCAGTGTCCTCATAGTGAAATCTGTCTTGGTTTTCAGGACAGAAATTCCCGGGACAATCATCAACTCGCTTGTCCTTATAGACATTCTTCTGAGTTTGTGGTTTCAAACTTCAGCATTGATGATATCAAGCCAGTCATGTTTTCTCAATCTTTTGTCCAGCCGAGGTCAGCTTCTTTGCCTGGAAATAAAATTCCACCTTCGTTTGATCTATCAGGACTCGGAGTTCCAGAAGATGGGCAAAGGATGATCAATGAACTTGTGTCTTTTTATGATAATAATGTACAAGGAAACAAGGACTTGATCACTGGGAACACCAGGGTTGTCAAGGATCAACCTTCTCAGCAACCCAGTTTTCAATGTCAAAATGATGGGTATTTTTTGAGTCAAGGTCCTCAAGGAATAATGTCCGAGAGTAGCATTTTTCAAGACGCGAATATTCCCAATCATTCTATGCATCGTCCATCAGCTGATCGGTTTGACCAGTTCAAGGATATGAATTCTCCCTTGAACTCCTCCCCTAACGAAAACTTGCAAGTAATGTTTAGTTCTCCGTTCAATATACCGTCCATGAATTACACCGAAACATTTCCTGGAGTTGCAACGGATAACCCGCCAAAACAGGATGTCTCAATTTGGTACTAAGAAGATTGATTTTGGACATGAAAATCAACTGGTCTGAATTTGAGGTCCACAGACCTTAACACACAAGTTCTGTCTTTGCACCTATTATTCTCTTAGTTATTGTGGCATTTTCCTTGCAATGTACTTGCTGTAGATGTTTAAATGGTTTAGGCATGGTTCCAATAAACGAGTGGGCTTATGGTCCCACCACCCGAAGAAAACCCAAATGAATAGGATTATAGTGTTACATAAATAAGTTTAGTTTACTTTTGATCTGTTTTTTTTCTTGTACAAGTTAAGGTTTATGTCATTGTGGTTCCCTGTCTCTATCTATGGTGGCTGTATTTTGTTGACTGTCTTTCATTACACCTTTGTGTGGTCCTTCCATTGTAATTAGCTTATTACTATATGAGAAACAGTAATTTTGGTTGGTTCCAAGTGGCAGAGTACTTTCATTTTCTCATAATTGAGGTAGGATTTTTATAGCTGTTTTCTACTTATTTGGCCAAGAGGTGATAAGGTCCACCTTTCCATATTTTGATATTTCCTCCCTACTTCCCCCATTTATTTGACATGAATGAGATTTTTCGATTGCTTGATTATTGCGATAACGATCGAGTTCTAATCTAATTAAACCTCCGTTTGACAACCACTAAAACAAAATCATTTTTTTCTCAAATTAATTTTTAATCACACGTTCTCACAATAAAATATTCTGTATGTAAATTCAAAATCATTTCGTATTTTTTAATCACGCATTTTTCAAAAAATGACTATTTCGAAACTCATTTTTCCCAAAAATATTCATTTCAATGGTCGTCAAACATGGGGCAATAATAAAAGAAATGTGAAGATTTGTAGTAGTTTGGTTAGGGAGCAAAGGTTGAGAGATAGCCGTACACTTTGAAGTTTTCGACTACAACCTAAAACTAGGAGAACTATCAATTCTCGCTAGAGGAGAAGTTTTATAGGGTCTCATAGCTCTCAACCACAGTTTGATATGAAGTGTCAAACAAGAGGAGAAGTTTTATAGGGTCTCGCAGCTCTCAACCATAGTTTGATATGACGTGTCAAACAAGAAAGACAAGAAAAATGGACATGGACATGGGTTAAAGTTCAACATGCACCCTCGTTTGAAAGTTAAATTTTCAGTGTTGACGAAACTTGAATTCAGGTATGTTATTCTAATACTTTATCGACTACTTTAAGACTCAATACGTTGTTAGAAAAGAATTACGTATATTTGACTAATATCTATTCTTCTGTTCCACCTGTGAGAAAATCCAAGAATCAACCTGCTAATGGAACTATTTAGATAGTAAAATTATGTTTGAATTGCATTAGATTATACGAGCTAATCTTAATTGAATTTTGTCCTCATCCTTGTGTCCAATTTTTTTTTAAATCAATAAATTATTGCCCTGATCATTTGGAGGCATCTGATCTCAATGACTCGATACTACTTTGTACTTTTCCTCTTTCTTGATAATGTTTGCAAGAGATTTGCTACACGTACACCCCGTGTTCATATCCCTGTGTACACGTCTCCCCCCTCACAAGAGGGGGGCCCACTATTATTTTATTAGCCGTGGGCCTCCCCTCTTGTCAAGAGAGTATAACTTCAGTGTACATTTAACATTTCTCTATTTGCAAACTCCCCAACTGCCCTCCTCTACAAATTAAAATTTAACAAATTGTATAAATATAATTTATCATGTTTGGTCACCATTAAAATTATAATTTATTTGCCTCTTTTCTTATAAACTATATATATTCTTCAATAAAATAATATTATATGTAATCCTAAATTTTTTTTTTTAACCACACATTATATAAAAAAACATTATTCCAACCATTAAAATTTCAAATAATGGGGCCAAACGGGGGCTTGATATATAGAGAGAGATTACTTTTTTGGGATTCATTTGAAGGCATCATATATTTAGCAAAAACCTATGGTGGATTTTTATTTTATTTTATTTTTCGTAATGATCGACGGCCGTACAATCAAATCTCTATTTGATCTCTATTTCTTACAATTTTTTTTTTCAAATTTATTTTCAACAACACATTTCATGCTATTCACAATTTTTAGTCACATATTTTATCAATTTTTTTTTATCAAAATCTACTGAAATTTTTATTTTTATCCAAACCAGGGGCCAAATGTCAAAAAATGTTTAACTATCACTTAACTATAGTTAAAAACTCTAAAATACAATATAAAAATTTTAGATAGTTTGATGTTGTGAGAAATAAATTATGAGAATTTTTTTTTTTTTGGGATTTCTTTTGAGCAGATATAATTTTTTTTTTAATATAAAAAATTGAAAATATCTCCACAAACCTTGTGAATAATGGAAGATGTTGACTCCGAAGAATTATACTTGTGATATTTAGATCATCTTTCAAACAAGCAAAGACACGCTGAGAATGATAGCTCAATTGGAAATTATTTGACTTCAAACAAGCCAGCTGTTTTAATTAGTTAAATAATAAATACATAAAATCCTCAATTTGAAAATGATTACAATTAATAAATTAATTAAATTAAACCAAACATGATAAAATATCCTTCCATTAAACTATATTTATATAATCGAAAAATTTGTAGTTTTGACCTAACTTATGGTCTATGTAGCAAATTGGTCCTAATTTTTAGATTTGAGATATTTTGACGCTCAACCATACATTATTGTTATATAAGTAGTTTTTAACGATGAAAAATGTCCAAATTTAAATTAACGTGTGATGTTAATAGATGCGGAATATTGCTTTAGAAGTAAATATGTGAACACAAATATTTTTAAAAATAAAATAAAAGAAGAAAATAGATAGAATAAGATTAAAAGGAAAAGAAAAAACAAAATCTTTATTTACTTCACATCCACTCTCACCCCCATCTCAAACCACTAAGGATGGCAATGAAGCGGGATGAGGTTTGGGCTCGAATTTTTTAGGAGGCGGAGTGGGGCTAATATTCATTGACTAAACTAGGAATCGTTACCCCATTTGAGAGCAGAAAATGGGATTGTGCAGAGGTAAAGAATTGAAATTCGAACAAATCACTTACCCTTTGATCACCCGCTTTATAGTTCCACTATCCACCCTCAACTCCATTATTGTCCCTTTCTTCCTTGCCCCGCCTCTCCGTCACCGTCCTGAACACCCCTAGCTCTCGACTTGTTCCCCAATATCGTCTCCCCTCGTTCCACTTCTTCACCTAGCATTTTGAAACCATGCCCACTTTTTGGCTTTCTTTTATCATTGTGTTATTTCTTATTAATTAAGAATAGTGCTATAATTGTTTTTACAATAAAACTTAACTTTTCAATAATAAACCCGATAACAAAAGTTGAAGATCAACTTATTATACAGCTCATCGATCGAGGATCAATCGTGCAATTTTTACCACGTTATCCCATCTCAATAAGTGGGTGGCGGTAAAGTAAGATTTCAATTTTCAAGGGCATTTTGGTCCATTCCTTTTGTGTTCCATCAAGGGCCGTCTTGTCCATGTCCACAAGTATAGGATAGGAGTCACACACCCAGGGACGGACCCAGCACCCGGCCAGGGGGCGAGGCCGCGCGTGTTGGGATCCGCTGGACCGCCGGCAGGTTCCTGGTTCGGTGGTTCCTGCTGGTGCTGGTTCGTCTTCTCCGTTTTGTATCTTCTTCTTTCCTTTTTTTTTTTTTGGGTTTTGGGTGAAGTTGGGCCAATTTGGCCAAGTTGGCCAGCCCATAAATCTTTTTTTTAATTGGGCTATTTGTTCTGGCCCAATCTAAAATTATATAATATACAAAAGCCCAATGGCCCTTTAAATTGAAATTCATCCCCAAATTGAAGACCTTCATCTTCACCAATTATCCAATTCGACTCTCACCCAAATCCCAATAGCCCGTCCCTCGCTGCCGTGCCGCCGCACCACCACTAGTCCGGCCAGCCCGCCGTCAGGTTGCTACCGTCTCTGTCCGTCCGAGTCCCGTCCGTCGCGAGTTTTGGTGAGTTTGAAACTGTTAGTTGTTTTTCGGCATTTAGGTGTCATTTTTTAAGTGTCTGATTCT